CTCGAGCGAGATTCATTGCAGGGAGTGAAGGATGAAGGAGACTGTTTGCTGATGCGGATGTCTATAGCCAAATCGTCTGGATGCGCCGTCTCCGTGTCCTCCGCCGTCTCCTCGTCAAGTACCGTGCAGCCGGAAAGATCGACAAGCACCTCTACCACGAGCTCTACCACCTGTCCAAGGGTAACACCTTCAAGCACAAGCGTGCTCTCGTTGAACACGTACGTCCGCCATGACATCATGACTATGTCAAACCCCGCTCCATGCTCGGCTACTGACATGCATCGTAGATCCACAAGGCCAAGGCTGAGAAGGCCCGCGAGAGGGCTATCCAGGAAGAGATGGACGCCAAGCGTGCGAAGACCAAGGCGGCGAGGGAGAGGAGGCAGGAGCGTGTCCAGCAGAAGCGTCAAGCTCAGTTTGGCGACGATGCGGAGTAAACACGGGATATCATGATGAACACCTGGCGTGGGTCTTTTCAAGGTTAAAGGAGGGCGTCAATCTCCTTTTTATCTGGGCATATGCGGTCATGTTTCATGTTACGTCTGTGAAGGACTCTTCTCTCCATGCATACTCGACCGACAAGGCTGCCCTCACTCTGATCACCGATGCTATGAGTGTACCAAAAAGGATATGCGCATCGGAATTAGAAACCAGTAGTCAAACTTGGAGTTGGTCTGCTTTCATGCATTGTCTGTGGATATGATTGCGTGATGCTTGCTTGAATGGTTCTCATTCGCATTCCTGAAAGTACCCCGGTTTACCCAATTCCCATGACACGGACGCCATACACCCTGTTACCTGCTTAGGGTATCAAACAACCAAAGCGCCTTATCCAAACACCTCGTGCTGAGCCAACCTTGGTCGCATGACCATGCCTTTAGATCTAGGTGTCATCAGTACATATTCTCACCCATCGCATGTTATTACTCACCAGCTTGAGTGCAGCCCTATGCACGTTCCTCGTAAAGTTGAGCATAGCCTTCGCCTTGTTGTTCCCCCTCTGCAGCCTCCTATAACCCTCCTGCACATGACTCGGCTGCACAGGCTCTCTCGCCTCCTCCGGCGGATCAAACAGACCACGCTCCCTCTTCCTCTTAAGCCTATTCTGCTCACCGCCATGATTCTTCTTATAGAGATCTTCCGCATCCTTGACCTTGAGCGCCTCTTCCGTAAGCGTCTGCACAATCTCAAAAGTCAAGAAACCAAGGATATCGATGATATCGTCAGAAGGCTTGGAATCAGTAATGAGGCCGAACCCAGCCCATTCTTTGAAACGCTTGCCTTTGCGGTAGGTGAAGGATGCTTGGCGGCAGTCAGACCAATGGACATATTCCTCCCTCGTCATGTCCTTGGTACGTTCGTCTGCGTTCTTGAGGCGTTGGAGGGTAGCGTAGTTCATTTCCTCTTCTTCCTCATCTTCGACATCGTCTTTTTGCGGTGGGAATTCAGTGAAGAAGGAATGCACATCCCAGACTAAATCAACTTTTGCGCGCTTGGCTTTCTTCGAGGCGTCGACGGGGGCGGCGCCGGGGCCTCCTGCTCCTACCACGCCGGCAGCTATGTCTGCGTCTCCGGCTCCGACGTCTGCGCCGCCGTCGCCGCCTTTGTCGTCTGAGTCTTTGACGGAGCGGCGCACGTCTTTCCATTGCAGGAAGTGCCGAAGGCGAGAGATTTTGGCGCGGTCGTGCCGGATTAGCATGAAGAGGTCGTCTGTGGATATGGATTTGCTGCCGCGGCGCGTAGCTAGGGCTGTGCATTCTCGTAGCATGTGCTGGACTTGGTCTTGGACGATTGATTCGATCAGGGTGGTTGTTTCGGGGGAGGGTTCGCCGGTTTCGCCGGAGACGAACATCATCTGTGGGATCGTTAGATTCAGGCCAACGTCGAGGTCGATTTCGAATGGTAGCAGAGCTTCTGGAGATTCGGGCCGAGACATTGGGGGAGAAGAAAGCGCAGGGGAGGATGTAGAAGAGGCCATAGTGGTGGCCTCCTGCAGTACAGTTGGGGGGAGGGATGTGAGTCAAGGAAATGTGTGGGTGGTACAAGTGCTGGGGGCATCTTGTGGGTGAGCGTTTTGAGAACTCGCTTGTGACTTTGCTAGATGGGATGGAGTGGGCGATGGGACGATTGTAGGTGAAGTAGAGTTGGGGCCATGTTGGCTGTCCGTCTGTAACGTGACTGCGAATGAAAAAGAACCATAACCCATATGCGATGTATGAATGTTGGCGTGATGTAGGAAGAAATTTCCAGAGTCTTCAAATGACTTGATCGAAAGCTGAAATTGCGTTGATGCTTGGGTAGGCGCGCGTAACAGTGTCCTTCGTGTACAGTGAAGGATGGAAAGGTCGATGATGTTATAGACAGCGTAGTTCAACCCATACTTTCAAAAGTCCATCTCTTTCTTGTTTGGAGTGTCAAAGAAAAACCTTGGAAACAGCACAAGAAGAAGATGCAATTGACTAACCTGTTGGATCTCCGTCCGATACTTGGCCATCTTATCCTTGTCCGACATGGTGTCTTACTCCGTCGCCCAAAGGCTCCTATAATCATACAAAGCGCGTCGCCAACTTCTTACAGCTATACAAAACAGAAAGTCGAACACAAGAGGCGTGGGGCGCGGCGAGGAATGTGAATGGAGTCTGGGGATGGACGCGGTTTGCGGTCTACTAGCGCGATTTCAGGCGATGCCTGATGCGACAGCACGGGTTGGCCCGGGCACGCTCAGCCCTACCACATGCAAATCATCAGCCCCACCTAACTTTTTGTCAATTTGGCGAACAACCCCACCACGACTCTCACCCCACGCGTCACAACTGCCCATCATGCTGTATCTCGTGGGTCTCGGCTTGGCGGACGAAAAGGACATCACTGTCAAGGGCTTGGATATCGTGAAGAAGGCGGAGCGCGTCTACCTCGAGGCGTACACGGCGGTGCTGCTGGTGGAGAAGGATGTGCTTGTGAGTCGAAGATGCGATTGATGGGAGAGGCACTGGGAAACTAATTATCACGGCAGTAGGAAGCTTTCTATGGCCGCGAAGTCATCATAGCCGACCGCGAAATGGTCGAGTCGTCCAGCGACGATATCCTCAAAGATGCTGATAAAGTCGACGTCGCATTCCTCGTCGTAGGCGATCCATTCGGGTATGCTCCGCTATAAATATATATTTCAATCATCTAATACCGAACAGAGCGACCACACATACCGACCTCGTCCTCCGCGCTCGCGAACTCTCTATCCCCACCCGCTCCATCCCCAACGCCAGCATCCTGACCTCGATTGGTACGACCGGTCTGCAACTCTACAACTTTGGGCAAACAGTCTCTATGGTCTTCTTCCTTGACAACTGGAAGCCCGCCTCCTTCTACGACCGCATCAAGGAGAACGTCTCCATCGGCCTACACACGCTCGTCCTCCTCGACATCAAGGTCAAGGAGCAGAGTCTGGAGAACATGGCGCGCGGACGCAAGATCTACGAGCCGCCGCGGTACATGACTGTTGCGCAGTGCGCGCAGCAGATGCTGGAGATTGAGGAGGATGTCAAGCAGGAGGGTGCTTACACCAAGGAGAGTCTGGCTGTGGGTGTTGCGCGGGTTGGTGCTGAGGATGAGAAGATTGTTGCTGGAACATTGGCACAGCTGTGTGAGGCGGATCTGGGGAAGCCGCTGCACAGTCTGGTGCTGCTGGGTCGTCGGACGCACGATCTCGAGAGGGACTTCCTCGAGGAGTTCGCTGTGGATAAGGAGAGCTTTAGGGAGGTGTGGAAGAGGGACTATGAAGGCAAGCAATGAGTAGACCTATGTGTTGTTGGTATTTTAGAAGGTGGCCTCATATCAAATATTTCATACGAACGACCCCCTGAATGCATGACATCGCACCTCTCACATAACATTACAACCCGCACTGCTCCACACAGTAGGCCTATCCCCCTTCTTCATCACTATATGCCTCGGTATCCCGCGTACCACAGGTATCATGACAGGCTCGGTGCAGTTCTGACCGCTATCTTTGGCTTTTTGGCATTGATGGAAGTCTTCGTCTACGCAGGGTATGTCTTTGTTGGGGCCAGGGCCGTAGGCTTCTCGTCTACGGATAAGGTAGTAGGTGTGGAATGATGTGCACATTTTGTTTGTTGGGGGTGTCTTTCTTAGGAGGGTTTTGGTGATGATAGGGAATTGAGAGAGGAAAGTGGCGCTGCGAGGTGGTTGGATGTGTGCAGTTCTCGTATGCGAGTGGTTTGTAGACGTATACGATGTGTTGGCAGATCATTCCAACGGAAGTTGAGAGAATCAGTGTGTATGATACTGAGACTGACAGGCGAAGCTGGACATTGTGTGCATAGCCATAGTTGCCTCTACTCGATCCTGTATTCTGTCCATGTTTGCGCTGTTCGCTCGCGAATCCTGACCACATGTCGTATACATGTGTTGTCTTCTTCCCTTTCCGCCATTTCAGTTCTCCATGTATTCGGCATGTTATCGTCTTTGTATCTATATCCCATCTTCAAAGACTCTCTTCATCGTTGCGATACACTTTTCCAACTCCTGCTCTTGTAACGGGTGAAGGCCCAAGCAGAGCCTGAACCGATGCTCCGGAAATGGCTCGTGTGAAGGGAACATTCTGATACTTCCAGACCACTTCCAGTCTCCTTGTATGACTGTTTTTGGGTCTACATGCGCGAGCGCCGTTGTTCTTAATAGTATGTTCCGCCACCATCCAACATCGCTCATCTTACTGATAAGAGTCCTATCTTTTCGGGCATGAACCGCAAGTGCCACGATCTTGCGTATGATCCAACAGCTACAAGTATGTATACTTTTCTTCTCCATAAGCGAAGGCCAGATCATCCGGATGGTAAAGGCGTAATATTCTTCGCAGATACGAGCGATCAAACGCCAACGTTTGTCTGCAATGAACTCGCGTACAAGGAGGGGACGGTGTTCCCATACGGTCATCTCTCGGAGATAACTATGCAGGGTCATGGGAACTTCTTCGAGGAAGTTCAATAGGTCAAGTGGACCGCATGCAAACACTAGATCATTGCGACATACAACGATGTTCTTGGTCTCTTCTTCCAGTTGCCGGCAAACATGTCTGAGCTGGTTGATCTCCATGGCGGTTTCGAGGCCTTTTTCGAGCTGTGCTGCATACCAATCTTGCTCGCGTTCTTTTTTGGAAGGTCTCTTTTCCATGACAGGGACCGCGTAGAAGCGGAATATTCTGGAGTTGTTGGGTGGTTCTTCGCGACATAGCACACCTTTTGGGTTTGTGAGAGTGTACTCGTAGACTATATTTCTGAGCTCGGCAGGGAGTCGGAAGAAATGGCAAGTGCCATCCGGGGAAGGTTGGTTTGGATCCATGATGTCTTTGCCGCGGTTCGGAGTGGTGGGTATAATTGCGTTGGGTCGAGAAGTCGATCTTTTGGGACATGGGGATATTGAGATGTTCGATGATGCGATGTCTTTAGACGCGTGCACTGTATTTCTATATCGCCCTGCACTTTACTTATATGGCTGAGTGGCCGTCCTTCGGCTGCCGTCTATTGGTACCTTGGTACTGCGTTAGTGGATCTAGATAGCGATGAACCACCTACAACTTCTGCATTTTGAATGATATCTATCAGAAACTAGATTTTTGGGTCGGAAAACCTGCTCCCTCCCAATACCAGACAGTGGTGGTCTTGCAGTTATGTTGTCTTGCAATGCTGATCGCGCAACCAAAAATCCATAAGTACATCGTACAAGACGTCGCCCGTCGAACGGCACCGGTGATGTCCGATTCAAATATGATGCCCAAGCTTTGAGCGACGAAATAATAGTTGGAGATTTAGAGTAGTGTCGGCACCTGGGCAGGCTAGAAGGCTAACCGTAGCGTTACTGCGACCCTTAGCCTGATACTAAGCGACATGTAGGTCTGAGAATGTCTCCACGAGCATCATTTAAACACTGTACGATGGGCGGAGTTGATGCAGATGGTAGCTGCCTGGGCATCTGCCCGGGTGAAGGTAGAAGTTGCGAGGTCGAGCCATTGACAGGTAAGAGCGTCTGACGTCACAGCACAGTCATTCATCGGCCGAGGCAACCACAAAGCATCACGATGATCTGTACAATCTGATCGGCCCGCTTCCATTCTTCCGCTTGCAGCAGTCCTCACAAAGATCCAATCATTCCGGACTAGCGCACTGACAATGTCCAAACCTACCGGCGCCACAGCAGATTCCGGCTCGCCCGGAAAGAGGCTACTTCAGGATGTCATCAATACAACGTCCACTCGCCCGTCTTTACCGTTGGATAAAGATAGCGGTACTGAACTATACCGACAACACAGTCGCAAGGAAGAGAACATGCAGAATCCAAAGATGAAGAGGGTCGCATCAAGACCGCAGACCTCCAGCTCAAGACGCTCGGCAAACGGCTACATGCCCATAGAAGACTATGGGCTGATTGGAAATATGAGAACATGCGCCATGGTCGCAACAGACGGAGGAATCGGTATGTAAATTCTGCGAACCGTATGTCAAACACATACTGACTTGGAACGCCTACTCCAGATTACATGTGTTGGCCCTACTTCGACTCCCCGTCTGTCTTCTGTCGCATTCTGGACAAGGAAAAGGGCGGTCACTTCAGCATAGGGCCCATCGGCGACGATACATGTACGACTAAACAGCAGTATCTACCTGCGAGCAATATTCTCCAAACACGCTACCTGAAGGAGGAGGGTGTCATGAACGTCGTGGACTTCTTTCCTAGACCGAATGACAAGAACTGGGACGAAAAGTATCACGCGAACGTACTCGCGAGCAACCATACAGGAAGCGTACCAGAACGTCCCGATCTGAAGAAGTGGCTAGTCAGGCGGGTAGAATGTATGCGGGGCAAAGTTGACGTGTGCGTCGAGGTCTTCCCTGCTTTCAACTACGCGCAGGACAAGCATACGACCGAGATTGTCGATATGGGCAAGACTGGTCAAGGACGTTGCCTGCAACGTGTCATCTTCAAATCAAAAGACCTCTCCCTGGAGCTCAACGCAACGATCGATTGTGGGGATGAACCCGACGGCGTTTGCCCAAGAGTGGTTTTTGAGAAGTCACCGGAGCTACAAGACCTGGGCGATGGTGTCACGGCCGCTTTCACTTTAAACGAAGGTCAAGCCGTATCCTTCATACTGCGCGACGCGGAAGACCACAGCCCAGACGTAATTGAGACTGAACAAGTTCAAGAGCTGCAGACCAACACCCAAATGTACTGGGTCAGGTGGATAGAGCAGAGCAAGTATAAAGGCCGATGGGAAGAGGTGGTTACGCGGAGTCTGCTGATTCTCAAGATGCTAACCTTCGAGCCAAGCGGAGCAATCGTTGCTGCACCGACTTTCTCTCTGCCCGAGGACTTTGGTGGATCGCGAAACTGGGACTACCGCTACTCCTGGGTGCGCGATGCGTCGTTCACCATCTACACCTTTCTCCGGATGGGTATTAGCCATGAAGCTGAAGCCTACATAAGCTACATCTTCCAACGTGTCAAAGAGGCCAAAGCGCGGCAAGGAGCTTTGCCAATCATGATGACCATCTGGGGCGGCACAGACATACCAGAGCTCGAACTACCCCACTTGGAGGGATACAGGGCTAGCCAACCGGTCCGGATCGGCAATGGCGCGGCTTTCCATGTACAGCTTGACATTTACGGGGAGTTGATGGATGGCATCTACCTCGTTAATAGGTTCTCGCGTCCCATCTCATATGATCAGTGGCTCCTTGTCCGAGAGATCGCGGACTACGTATGTACTGTCTGGAAAGAGCCCGACATGTCGATCTGGGAAGTCCGCGGTAAGAAGCAGAACTTTGTATACAGCAAGATGATGCTGTGGGTAGCCCTGGATCGGGCATTGCGCCTGGCAGACAAGAGGAGCTTTCCATGTCCGCATCGAGCCGAGTGGTACAGGGTCCGCGATGAGATCTACGAGGAAGTCATGGAGAAGGGCTACAACACCGACTTGGAGTGCTTCATCCAGAGCTACGAGTCGAATGATATCCTGGATTCGGCGGTCTTGATTGCGCCTCTGGTCTTCTTCATATCTCCGACTGATCCGCGCTTCCTCAAGACTCTCGACCGCATACTCAAGGCTCCTGAGAAGGGCGGGCTGACGAGTACCGGTTTGGTGTACAGGTACAATCACGCCCTGAGCGACGATGGCGTGGGTGGGCAAGAAGGCGCTTTTAGCATGTGCACGTTTTGGCTCGTCGAGGCGTTGACAAGGGTAAGCGGTCTGCGTTGCAACCCAGAGTTTTGCTTTTTACTGACATCACAGGCTGGCGCGTACAACGAGAAGTACCTGTTACAGGCGGTAACTATCTTCGAAAACATGCTAAGTTTCGGAAATCATTTGCACATCTTCTCGGAGGAGATTGCGCGCTCGGGGGAGCAGTTGGGCAACACACCACAGGCGTTCAGCCACCTGGCGGTGATTTCAGCGGCATTCAACCTGGACAAGACGTTGACTTTGCGACGCAAGTAGAGTGGCATGGAGGGTGGTAGCGATAGATGGCAATGCAAACCAGACGCTGAAACGTGCATGCATGTTCTAGATGGGCGCGCTAATCTAACGCACAGGGACGATCAGCAGCTAGCACGTCATGGCTTGCATCGTTCCACAGCCGGAAATCGATCTAATGTCGCTAGCTGGAGGATGCCGTACTCTTGGAAGGAATGTGTGGCGCCGGCTACCAACCGCCCCTGGCGCACTGACTGGGCAATCTCCCAGGCTGAGCCGCGCAACTTTCAAGGCTTTCCTGCCCTTTGCACCTCTGGACAACGCACCCCAACCCATCGCCAGCGGGCCATGACATAGCACCCCCATAATATCTTCCTTCACTCTCTATAATTCTACATTCGCTCTCTTGTCGGTCTCTCTTTCGCGTCGTCCACGTACCACACCCGTGCCGTCATCATCAACTGCCCACCTACGCGTCGCAATCCGCACTTCACTCCCACCACCCGCCATCATGTCGCTTTCATCCACCTCCTCCTCTTCCTCCTCCTACAGCGTAACGAACCTTTCAGTTATTGATGAAAAGCTCGAGATGCCACCTCCGCCCACAGAACTCCTTGTCAGAGACTTCGGTTGGCCATCGGTTTCTCCGCGCTACCGCGGCGACCACACGCAAGAAAGCAACCCCGACTGGGAGCATGACCCGCTTGATTGCGAAAAGGCCAAGGCAGAGGCCTTTGAGAAGATGGAGCGAAGCTACGCGCTCTACATGGCCAATCTTGAAAAGAAGCCGCCTGTGCAGAAGAAGAAGGCCACCTGGGCTCGCTTCCTACCTTGGGTGCGTGTCTAACGCACTCTATCGACTGCCCGTCGCCTACACCACAATGGCCAAACATGACCATTGAAGGCTTCGCAGAGAGGCGCGGTCGCTGCGACACAAACCTCGCAGCGCCTATCCACGACGTCGCCTCCAAAAATTGGATACGCACCCGCCCGCCACAAACAATTTTCAAAAGATACCCATTGTTACGAAAGAAAAAGAGATACAACATCGATACCACCAGATTGGGGACAGGAAGGAAGCAATGCCGGTGCACACCCCGGCCCACGCATGATTCGGAGGCAGCTCGGAGTCTAGATCCGGCCTGCCGAGCCATGAGTGACGGGGGAAGGTGCGGGGCTGTCTTCCACCTTGCGCCCTACACTGGAAGAAGCAATCTTTGATACGCGTTTTCTTGTTCCCTTTGTTGCCCAAAAGCCTTGCGCTTCGCTCTACGATCTCGTTAGCATATACCCTTTTTGTATACCCAGTTTAGATTTTTTATTTGTTACGCCCGATCGAGATAATACTACTAATACATCAACGATTCTTCTTTACCTATCTGGTACGTGGTGCATGTCATCTCGGGGTTCGCATTGCGCCGCGGGGTTATTATCACCTCGACTATCGGGAATGATCACCCTCACTCCACTGTCATGCAGCGGTAGACCATTCCCGACCGTTGCACGCGGTAGATATATCTACATGGCTCCACTACACGACGTGTCGGAAATTTTGCTCAATTTATTCTCCGTCGCTATTGCCTGGTTTCCCTTTGCTCTTTCCCCTTCAGCATTGACGCGCAGGTGACATTCACGCTCCCGTCACACAACTCCACTCGAAACATACCCAGCATATCCTCCATACCTTAACTACACCCATCATGGGTTCAATGCCAGAGAAGAAGACCATGCGTGCGCAACAGTACGATGCGCGGGACAACAAGCTCCACCTCAACGAAATACCCATCCCGACGCCGCGCGAACATGAGATTCTGGTCAAGATGGGTAGCGCATCCCTCTGCCACACGGATGCCATGCTCTTCGAGCCCAA